GTGTAAAGCATCATTATAAAGAAGTTTGGAATTATCATGCCAAGAATAAAAGTATTTCGGGCCATGAATTGTAGTATAATTATTTTGATTAGTTTTAGCAGTTTCACAATTCGTTACAGCATTTGTTTGAAGAAAGAAAAGACATTTGACAGTGATCCGAAAGTGTCAAATTAAGTGGATGTATTTGAAAAAAGGAAATGTGTTTAAATAAGTTGCTACTAACAATACTATAACTATAACTTTATATCTCTGACTGTTTTGGCACTACAACACGATGTTGTCTTCCTTGAGTTTTTGACGATCTTCGCTTGATAGGAATAACCCTGGTTATCCACTAACATGGGGTTACCTTGAATGGACATTCCTTCAATGATCTTATGTGTAACAATGTTTTCTTCTCCAAAACGAGGAATGGGATTTGGCAGATTTTCAACCGAAAGTGCCGTAAAAGAGTCGTCAGAGTCTGATGACAATGGCATTGGCTGGACATCAATATCAGCATCAATTGGTTGCTCAATTACAGCGACTAGGTGACAGACAATTACAGCGACTGCACCAGTCTCCAACAACTCAAGACTAGGTGACAGACAATTACTACAATGCCATGTAATAGATTCTATGTCACCACAAATAAGTTGACGATAAACATCTCTTGAAACACCAGAATTACACTTGCGATGTTGCCATCTATTGCAGTTGTCACACTCAAGAGCTTCTTGGTGAGGGCGAACTTCCATAGAACATACAACGCATGGGTACACAGGCATACAATGTAGCAGACATAAATTTGATTCAACTTGAGCAGGTGCGAAACACTGAACTGAGACTGATTGAAACTTGATTTTCACGGATCTTATAAGCATTTTATTGAAACTTGATTTTTGTTGACATTTCACACTTCTTATCCAATCAAAATTTGTTAAAAATATTTTACCATTTCCCACTTCCACACCATTTCACACCAATCAGATTCATTAAAAATTAAAACTAGAAATTGCAAACAATACAATGCCGTTGAACTAGATAGAGGTTTGTGTCGCCACATTAAGATAGTTTTGGGTTGATGCGGTGGGTCGAGATGTCCAGGGTGTCTGGGTTGAGATGTCCAATTTGGGTCGAAGTGTCTTGAGTGGAGATGTCTAGAAATCTTATCTGATAGACACGTACAGAAAGACATTTTCGTATTCGTCGTTTTGTTGTATTCGTAAGCTACAATTTATGAAATGGCAAATGTTCTTACCTCATCTCTGATATAATCATAAACATGGTTATCTTTCATCACAGCGGCTCTGTTTTTCTGCTTGCGCTTTGTATTTCTATCGAAAACGTTCATAACATTTTCACTTTTAGTTTTCTGATTACTCGGAGGGCTGTGTTGATATCGAACAGAAATCCCATTCCATGACCCAACAGAGTGAAACACATTGGTAACTCTTTTACAGCAACAGTGGTTTACTGCATGTATTCTTTGAAAAGTCGCTTGTTGAGAAACGTTCGATACTGATTGGATTTTATGACCATGGTAAGAAAATGGAACAACTCGTGTTACGCACGTCGACCAAGGCCTGTGTGGAATCTTACCGATAATGCAAGACATGTCAACTAGTGAATGCACGCAACGACCAGTCCAATCTCCGAACACTGTTTACCCCCTCAGATCAGTCGTACACAAATAAAATGTTTCTATTATAAAGCTACCACCAGATAGAGTGGTAAAATCGGTCCTCCATTTACTTTTCTGTGGCAGCAGCCATTTCGTGTAGGTCATAAAGGGTCACGCACAGAGGGCGCCATGCATAACATCTCTCCAGAGCAAAGATTTTTATATCTGCGTAATAAAAAGACTGACTGTTGGTGATGAATTTCATGTTTTACTTAAATGTAAAAAAGTCTAATTAATTGTTCGAGCTCTCACTAAATTTGAAGCTCAGGCTGAATTAGCGATTTATGATGACAACATTTGCAATTGATCAACGCTTGAGAAATTCAAGTGCTTGCTATGCACTAGAAATATCAATTGCTGCTTGGGAAAATGTATTTATTTTATTTTTATGTTTTAGATTTTGTCGGTATTTTGTGTGTTTAGAATAATTTTCATTGATTTATTGTATTCTTATCTCATACAAAATATATAATACTATTTTTAACAGGAATATGGAAGATACCTCTGGCCTGGCAACTCATCTAATTGACTCAATTCACAGTCCTTCTATAGAAGAAACTGTGCTCAGCTATATGGCATTTCAGCGGTTTTCCAAAATAACACACAATTTGGTTGTAAGGTCAGGCCAATCATAGAGCTAATTGTTATTCAATTCCGTGCACGTGGTCCGATGAATTTAATTATTTGTTGAATGTTAAACAAGTACTGGTACGAAACCAAGGGTCAGATACAGAACTGCAGCTAATCTCAGTCCTTCTATAGAAGAAACTATGCTCAGCTATATGGCATTTCAGCGGTTTTCCAAAATATCACACAATAATTCTACATTTGGTTGTAAGGTCAGGCCAATCATAGAGCTAATTGTTATTCAGTTCCGTGCACGTGGTCCGATGAATTTAATTATTTGTTGAATGTTAAACAAGTACTGGTACAAAACCAAGGGTCAGATAGGGGTCAGATACAGAACTGCACCTAATCTCAGGCGTAGCGTAATAAATACTGACCCGGTAAACTTGGAAAGATATCAAAGATATAATGACGCGTAGTGATATAATGACGCGTAGTCTACAGCCTGAGTTTCGTTCACGTCACCACATAATAAATAAATTACACTTTTGCGAAACCACGCTCAAATTGTAACTCGAATTTTAATTAACAGTTTATTAACAATTAACAATTTATGTTGCCCGTAACTCGAAGATTGGTTAACTGATTACATCGAGTTATAATTTGAACGTGGTTTTGCAAAACAATATACAATATAGGCATGGTCATTTTGTAACCCTATGTAACACATTGTCCGTTACTCGAACGATTCAGCATCTCTCTTTCAATATATTTGGTTTCAATGGCGCTTTGTGGTGGCTCCATAAAATCAAATTCAAAAAAGGAAAGATAAAAATGGCTATATTACGAAATAGTACAGTGTTCACGAAAATGAAAAGGCAATCAAATTGGATGAAGAACTCATAAAATATTTTTTTATTAAGAATTTATGAAAAAGTTCATTAAAAAAAGTGCACTCCGGATTTACTAACACGTAAAGGTATGTCAAAGCGTACGCACACTAGCGTGTTCATGGAAGCATAATTAACGTTTCTGATACGATTCTAATTGGATACATATTACTCTGATTTGATATGTAACACTCTGATCCGACACATAACACTTTGATTTGATACATAACACTCCGATCTGATATGCAACACTCTGATTTGATATGTAACACTCTGATCTGATATGCAACACTCTGGTTTGATATGTAACACTCTGATTTGATAGGCAACACTCTGATTTGATATGTAACACTCTTATTTGATATGCAACACTCTGATTTGATATGCAACACTCTGATTTGATATGCAACACTCTGATTTGATA